CGGCAGCCAAGGCCCGGGCGCCTGCTGGGCAGACCCCGCTCCCTCCGATCCCCTGTGGTGCCAGGGGTCAGAGCTCCTCCTCCAGCGAGGAGCCTTCCAGCCCTCCAAACACACCCCAGTCCCCCAGAAGCCTGCGGGCCCCAGGAGCAAAGCCCGTTTCTCCATCTACGCTCAGAGATCCCCCTCCCCTGGACGAGGCTGAGCTGCCACTGCAGCGCCAGGAGCGACACATACCTTCTGCGGCTTCCCCAGGTGGTTCTGGGCTCTGCAAGAGAGGAGACAGCCAGGCAGGTGCTGGAACCAGCCCAGGCACTGCCGGGACGCTGGTACCCCAGGGATGCAGCACCCGCCCGAGGGGAGCCACAGCCAGCTGGCACTGCCCTGTGGCTCACAGGGGAGGGCCGGCAGCCAGGCTAAGCCTCATCCAGCTGAGCAGAGCCCTCGGATGCACCCTGGGGCTGTCAGGCTCCAAGCAAGGAGCAGGGATGCCAGGAGATGGGGATGCCGGGGGATGGCACTGGGCAGAGGGCCCTGGCTCTGCTCCAGCCACACCGGGACCCCAGGTTTGCCGGACCCGTAAATCCTACCTGCTCAAGGTGAGGCAGAGCCTGTCCCCGCAGGCACGGATCCTGTTCTGGGCCTCGATGTGTGTCATGGAGCTGGTACTCTCCCCGTCGATGTACAGCACCCAGTCACCCACTCCCACGCCAGCCTGGGCTGCCTTCCCACCTGGCGTCAGCTGCAGGACAGACAAGAGTCAGGGAGAGCCGAGCTGGCTGAGCGGTGACACAGGAGCGCAGGGACGCCCTCGTCGTGAGGGCAGGGGTCTGCCAGGGCCCAGGCTCCTTCATGCAAGGCCCAGCTCGGCACAGGATGCCATACAGACCTGACCCAGGGGGAGGCAGGGACCCACGGATCACCCACCCATTTCCTAGCGCATTAGCCCAGAGCAGCCTCTTGCCCGCTGCAGCAGCGCGTTGTTCAGCACTCCCCCATGCGCTGCCCAGCCCCTGCCCGCTGGGGGCCATGCCAGTGCCCTGGGGCTCCATCCCCGTGACGCCAAATGGCGGAGGCGGCACTGTCTCAGCCTCAGTGGGAGGCCCGGCCACCCCTTGGAGCCATCCCCACAGTCCCAGGGAGGGAAGGGAGCGCGGTGAGTCAGGCCCTGTCGGGCAGCCCACGTCTCACTGCGAACCACAGGCATGTCCAGCCCTTTGCCTGGGGCGAGGGGGTGGACATGGGAGGCACCCCCCG